AGTCATTTTGTAAACTTGGACTTCGGCAAGTTATTTTACTCCGATATCTTCGTATGCGAAATTTAATGTTCTTTTAACCTGTCTGCAAGAGGTAATTCTTTCTATGTGCCCCCTACGCTTGCTCATTATTTCAGATTTCGTTCGAAGGATACTGATATTCATCTCCTCAGCAATATTGGACTGTGCCTCTACAATAATTCATTACTTTACATGGTCTCCTGTCAAGTATGTCTTTCTTACCCTTTTGGGGGTGTTCATGGTTAGCCAAGTCTTCATTTCCTGCAACTTGTAACTACCCGTCGCCCTTATGAGGGCAGAGAGCGCGATCCGGTGAGGTTCACTTGCTGAAGTAGACCCACCAAGGTGGTCGCCAACTTCATATGTTGACTGTAAAAGGGCGAGCGTCTGCAGCCTTGGGACAGTCGAGCTTTGCCAAGACTCATTCTTGGGTTCGATAAGACTCACCAGCCAACCTATAATCGCAGCATATGTCAGGCTCACCGCATTCTCTGCCTCCACCGTCTCAACATGCCAGAGAGGTTTGTCGGTGTTGGAGACTTTGGTCACATCGTCGATCCAGGGATTGGAGAAGTGCAGTTGCATACTCTTGTCAAGGTAAACCCTCACGAGGAAGAGGGAGTCACCCTCCTCAACAGCGCCAGGTGCTGGAGTCAATCTGATGGATTCCATGAATGAAGCCTCCTTTTAAATTGGATACGCATAAAAACAGCATGCCGGATTTTTCAGTTCAAAGAACAATACTTATTTAATTTGAAAAATGACATGTTCAAGATTGCAGTCTAATAAGTGTTCCCTAAAATACGAGCCTCAGTCGATTCCATACTTTTTAGCATTAAACTTGAAGGGTATTTATATCTCAAATAATGCGGATTAGGCAAGGACAAAACTCAGCAAAGTGTCGACATGCACCAACATATTTATTATGAATATGCATGAGCGTACCTGATGAAACAGAATGGGAAGAAAGTGTGGCGTTTTTCTTAGCAATAGCCAGTGCTTCAGCTTTTTTCGCTCCTCCCTTATTTTTTGAAGTAATTTCCTAAAGAAAATTCCGAATTCAGGAGCAAACCCAGGGGTACTTTTCGGTAGTTGTTTGGAGTTCCACGTCGTACATTTTGTCGATGGCTTTCAACAGGGACTTATATTCGGCCGAAGCAAAGTCACGTCGCTGACCCAAACACTCAAACGAGTTGGGGGGTTCAGTGCACGAGTCCAGCATGTTTAGTTCATGGGGCGAAGACGAAGGGCTTTCAAGAACAATAAAGGCATAACTAGCGAAAGTACCCGTCTTTGTTTATCGCTCTCAAAAAACGATATCTGGAAAGCCAGTGGGTGGCTGTATCCACTTCACTTGTGTCAGAATTGCTGTCGGTTTCCTCTGACCTAGAAAAGGACAACCAGGAAAAATCTGTAAATAAGTCGGTAAGCACACCTTTGACAGTTGGAGGGCCCCTGCGTCGAGGGAAGGAAGGCCGCTAGGTCACACGCTTCAGCATTTGCATTGTTGGATGAAATGCAATCCGTTCCAATTACGGCCTCGTCCTTGGCACCACAGACTTCGTTTTTTCTATTAGTCAAAACTTTTTTAAGAGCTTTTTTCTCCTCTTCGACTAATTTATGCAAAAGTTATGCAAGTTTTTCAAAAAAAAGTTCAAACCAATTTCTCGGGGTGTCATGTTAAAGAGGGCGGCTGCGTCTCCAGATCCCATGGTTTTGTTTCCTAGGAGGCTGTCTGGTGTTACCGAAGTTTAAAATGGCCGCCTAATGCAGGCTTACCGAGGGTACTCTCAGCTATACCAAAATCGCGAAGAGTGGTCATTTTTAAACTTCGATTTCCTCCTTGTTCTTTATCTAACTGAACTGCATCCCTCACCACCTCCAGCTGGGAAGCAGACGTCAATGGACTGATATGTGTCGATTTAGATGGAGCGGGTTCATTTGAGAGTAAACTTGATGTTTCAAACGCGTTTAACTGTAAGTTCGCATCCTGGTTGCTTGTTTCTATCGCTCTATTTGATGACTAGACCTTCTGTCAGGGACCACAAGTAGTATTCGCTCCTACCTTCGAGGAGAGGAGGTCGGATGGCTTCATTGCATCCTCCCTGTCGCTCTTAAAGCCGGCCTCAGCATGAAAATTTTTCGACAGTTCTTCAAATCCAGACTTCTAGGTGTAAAGAAAATGAAACAAATCACCTCGGTTTCAGGCAGCATTCTAAACATTTCCTTCGGTTCCGGTCTTGTGTAAGGCTTAAAAAACTACACAAAAGCCTTGCTGAATCAGCATCAGCTA